AAACTTACCTCTTAGCACTGCTTTAATTATGTCTCATAAATTTGGGGACGTTGTGCTTTTATCATCATTGAAATATAGAAAATCTTTAATTTCTTTCTGTATTTCTTTCCTTACCCAGTGATCATTGAGCAGAGAGTTGTTTATATTCCATGAGTTTATAGGCTTTCTGTTGTTTCTGTTGTTAAGTCAAGCTTTAATCTATGGTGGTCTGATAAGATACAAAGAGTTATTTTAATTTTCTACTATCTCTGGAAGCTTTCTATGTGACTGAAAATATGATCAATTTTGGAAAAGTATCTGTGAGCTGCTGAAAAGATATATTCATTTGAGTTTGGCTAAAATGTTCTGTAGATATCTGTTAGGTCCATTTGAGTCACAATTTCAGTTAGTTTCATTATTTCTCTGTTGAATTTTTGTCTGGATGACTTGTCAGTTGATGAGAGTGGATGTTGAAGTCTCCCATTATTAATGTGTGGGATTCTATGTGTGATTTAAACTTTAGCAATGTTTCCTTTACAAATATGCACGCCCTTGCATTTGGGTATAGATGTTCAGAATTGAGACATCATCTTGCTGTATTTTTCCTTTGATGAATATGAAGTGTCCTTCCCCATCTCTTTTGATTAATTTTGGTTGAAAATATACTTTATTAGCTATGAGAATGGCTACTCAAGCTTGCTTCTTGGGTCCATTTGCTTGGAAAAACTTTTTTCCAACTCCTTACTCTGAAGTAACATCTATCTTTGTTGCTGAGGTGTGTTTCTTGTATGCAGCAGAATAATGGATCCTGTTTTTTAATCCATTTCATTAGCCTGTGTTTTTTTATTGGGGAATTGTATCCATTGTTGTTGATCAATAATTGCTCATTCCTATTATTTTGATAGTGTGTGTACACACACACACACTTTCCTTGTTTTGTCTTTGGCCATATGGAATTACTTATTTCCTCTGTTTTCTGGACATGGACCCATGTCTCCATGGGTCTTGCCTCAGCATGTGTGTCTGAAGAAGCAAAAAGAATTTCTCTGTATGGTGTCCTGACAAATGGAGCTCAACTATGCAATATAAGGCAGGCCAATACATGCATGTGTTAGAGGAGAATCCTTCATCACGTGTCCTTTCACATGATGTGAACATCCTTTCTCCTGTGTCTGCTTCAGTAAAATGTTCCTTCATGAGCCTTTCACCTGTGTTCACTTTGATGGCACGTTCCTTCACATGCTTGCTCCGGCAAAACATCATCCAACACAACTTTCCAAAGAACCCTTAAGTTTCCACTTCAGTCGAAGGTTGATTTGGGATGTCCAGTCATAATGACTTTTGTCAGTCAATGGGCTGACAGTCTGGCTATTTCCTATCCCTATGTAGTATGGGGATCAAGGGTCTAAGCACAGGCAGCAGTCCTGTCTGACTACTGACTGCAAATAAATGTTTAAGTAGTGGAAGAGCATTCCCAAGAGTGGAAAAGAGGGATGAGGATCCCTTAAACTTCCTCAAGAGTGGGAGGCGGGTCTCTGGATCCAAGCGTGTCAGGTGAAGTAGTTTCCTTAGAGGAGATGGTTGGTTAGTGCTTGGGTATGGGTAAGATAACTTCATAAGGAACCAAAGGTCTGGGGACCAAGAAGAGGGGGCAGTTTATTCTGGATAGTAAATCTATTTCGAGGGTCCCTTCCTGTGGCATAGAGCCTGAGTACCCACATTTTCTGTTTCCCATAGCCAGATTTATTTTTTTATGTTCTTGGAAGTGGAGTATAGTAAGTTGAAGAACGAACCAAATAACCTCTAGGAGGACCAAGATTTTGTTTTTAAATGTCCTTTCCCCCTAGCATGGAGAAGCCCTCCTACTCTATACATATTGTGAATATGCATGGTTAGGAAAGGTATAGCCACTGTCTGTCTATGGGGTAGCAGACTTCCTTTTCCCCACATGAAAGACTGGGTCAGATCAATTAGCTCTGCTCTCTGGGCTGAGGTACCTGGAACCTGAGGTACCTGAGGCGTGGGCTCTCATCATCTCAGTTACAGTAACCATTGAAGGCCCCACATACTTGGTATCATCTTTAATGAAGCCGCTACCACCCATGTAGAGCGCTGCATCAAGACAGGGGGCTGTCATCTTGAGATAGTCATGGATGAGCACCCTGTAGGTCCTCATCAGACAGGAGGGTAGCAGGATTGATGCAAGTGGGGTTTTCAAATAGGACACAAGGCTCCAAGCACAGGGCTTGGTATTGGACACACAGGCAGTAGACAGCCAGCATTCTGAGTTCCTCAGAGGAAGGAACCAGTTGGAGTGCTGTAAGGATAAGATACTGACCGAGTTAACTTGTTTCTCATTTTTCTTAGACTAATAGTTCCCACCAGAGTGCTTAGCCAGGTGGCTCATCTGCTTGCTACAGAGTCTAGTTGTTTGGACAGGTATGTCATAAACCCCAAATTTTGGGATAAAAGCCTCTTTGTATTTTGTTTCACAAACAGATGAAAAGGTTTTGAGATGTCTGGAAGGGCTAGAAATGGACCTCGAGTCAGCTGTTCTAAAGCTTCAAATCCCTTTTGCTAAGCTCAGTACAGATTAGGCACTCAGTTTCCTATTGGTTTATAAAAGTGTTACTATTTCTACAAACTCTGGTATTCTGAGTCAGAAATACATACAGGAACCTGAAAACCCTCAAACCTGTCTCTTTGGTGTATGGTGTTGGGATCTGAAGGGTGGTAGCAACCCCACTATAGGACAGGCTCCTTTTGCCTCCCCTTACCAGATAGCCCCTGATGTACAATGTAGGTCTTTCTAAGCTAACATTGTATAGCTCAGGTTTTATAAGTATTGCAGTAATGCAGGAGTTCCTCAGTGGCCATTTATAATCTGTTTGTTTTAGAGGCTAGGTGTGTGTGTGTGTGTGTGTGTGTGTGTGTGTGTGTGTGTATGATTTCTATACTCTCACACACACAACTAAATACACACACATAATCCCAGGCAACCTCTGATGGAAAGGGAAGAGGTCAGCACTTAAGTGTCTCATCAAAGAGTGTTGGAAACCTTTTAAATCTTTGGGGGAACTTGGTCCAGGGTTGCCCCATCACCTACCTTTGGGTCAGTACATTCAAAAACAAAAATAAGTTTACTTACCTCTGCCTATTGGAGGCTGAAGAATGCATCTTTCAATTCCAAGACAGTGTACACCTGTTTCTCTGGAGGAATCAGACTCTTGAGACTGTGCTTGAGACCATAGTGTGGGCAGTTATCACTTTCATGACTATTATTTTTCTCAGATTTTGGACAAGTCGGAGGTCCCAGGTTTCCTCACAGACAGGAGAGGTATGTTTCAAGTCTGCCTCAGTAATATAAGCTAAAATTTCCCTTTTGGTTTCCAGTGTCACTGGGCATTGTATAATCTGATGAGGGGTAGCTGTTCTGGGTAGATGAGCTTGGTGTTGGACGAATTTTTAGGGGCTGATTTCTGTCCTCAACTCTGGGAATCTCTGTTGTTAATCTGTAAGACGTATCTTTTTATTGGAGGCATGACTTTCAGTTAAGAGATATTCTTCTGACAGGGCAAGACACCACATTTTGCTGTGTATCTATAGTCTAACTGTAACTTGTCATGAGAGAAGGGGAGGGTGGCTTTCAGCTTATTGGAAAGTCCTTGTCTCGCAGGACAAACTAGACCTTCTAATGGAGCTCTGGCACCCATCGCTTCACTCAAGTGACCAACCTTAATTTCTCCAATTATGTGACAGCTGGACATACGGCAACAAGACATCCAATCTACAGTATGTTCTTACCCAAAGCGTTTCATCTGAACCTAATTCCCTTGGATAGAGAATACAGTGACTAAGTGCTGGGAGTGGAGCTGACTGAGCACATTCCAGCTAACGTGCATAGTGCCTTGAGTTACAGTAACACCGAACATTTAGTAAAGGACAGAGCAAAGCCAAATTTCTATCTACACTGGCCTTGCCTCAGGATATATACACTAGAAAAACAGGACAGTTTGGAGGCCAAGGGCAAATTTCTAAAAGTCATAAAATTCTGGGTCATTTCCTTAAGGACAATTATGGTACAGATGATATTCTGTCTTGGCTGATGTAGTAAGGGATAAAATGTCATATATACATTTAAAAAATAATAATAAAGGATCTCTACAAAGCAAAAGCCGAACTTGAAGTCACTATCTAGCTCGGCTCACCCCCAACTCTTGCCTCACCTTTACTACTACTAAAACTTAGGGGTGCACTACCACACCCAGTTCTAAATACACACGCACACACACGTACACTCGCACATGCGCACGCACACACAGAGAGAGAGAGACAGAGAGAGACAGAGAGAGAGACAGAGAGAGACAAGTTTTTCATATGGATGAAAATTTTCACACATGTATTTTTATAGGTGACTTAAATTTGGATATTTCTGTTAATGTGTTAGAGGGAGCCCATGAGGGAAGACCACTTAAACACAGTGTATAACCAACTGCAGGTCTTTATTCCAGCCAGCTCTGAGTACACTGAAGTATTTGGGACTCAAGTATAACCCCAAGCACTTACAATAAAACCCACATTCTGTTATTCTGCTCAGCAGCCGCAGGGGGAGCTTTTACCTGAACAGGCAGTTTATCGGAAGCCAAGGTAGGCGGACAGTCGGAGGGGAGGTTTAAACACACAGGCCATTTAAGTGACGCCAGGACAAATCATCACAGCCAATTTGATCTCCAGTTCCTAGAATAGAGTTGTGCAATTTTCCACAAGATTCTCCATCAAGAAAATCAAATTCGGGCTGGAGAGATGGCTCAGCGGTTAAGAGCACTGACTGCTCTTCCAGAGGTCCTGAGTTCAAAATCCCAGCAACCACATGGTGGCTCACAACCATCCGTAATGAGATTGGATGCCCTCTTCTGGTGTGTCTGAAGACAGCTACAGTGTACTCATCAATAAAATAAATAAATATTAAAAAAAAAAAAAAAAAAAAAGAAAATCAAATTCTAGTCAAACCTGAAGTGGTCTCAGCAAGAATAAAGGTGGCGGACCCTGTGGCCGTTCTTCTCCTATCACAGATGTGTGATATCACAGATGTACAGTTCATCTCCATGTGTGAGCAGAGGGCATAAATAATAGGGTGCTACCTTTTGGAATTTTAATAAATTTCACACTTAGAACAGGTTTTTAAAAGTCTCCGCATAAATACACATAAAGAATGGACTCACAATTCAAACCCTTCCATGTTCCTGTCCATCCATTAGATGTATCTGGAATGAAGTTATTTGAACTTTAATAGTGGGAGGAAGCATGAGGCGTTCCTAAACTCTCTAAAGTACAATTAGCCTTTCACTCTCAGTTATACTAATGCCGATAAAGGCAAGAAAAACTTAAAAATCTATTTTATAGAACATCGGCATTGAACGAATACCTCAGGGATTTTGTCATCAATTGTAATCCTCTTACCACAACTGTGGCTGGTCCTTTGCTGCCCATCAACAAATTATGTAAAAACAAAGTAAACATTCAGTCTACTATCACAAGAGCCATGTGATGTCAATGGTGACAACGAAGACATCTCGGATAAACGTAGTTGCAATAACTGCTCTCCCTAAGCTGACTGTCCTGGGTGACTACTAATGAATTAAGTTTGTACAGCTAACAAGACGAGAGCAGATGATCGATACCCTGTATCTCTGACATTAAAGACATTCTCAACAGAGTATCTTCTCTGAACAGCCGACTTCCCACATTCTCATTCCAAAGGGTTTCTTGGCACCAAGAGTATATGAATACTGTGATGTTGACCAGATCCTACGGCAGCTTAAAGCTTTCACATTCTTTCAAGTAACAGAATTTTTATGCAATGGCTTGTCCACCTTTTTTACACGCATTGGACTCCTGGCAATTATGGATTTTCTGATGTTGTATAAGCTTACCATTTACAAGACAGGCTTCCCCCGAGCCTTCTCAATCACTGGGTTTAGCCCTATATGGACTCTCTGATGAACTTTAACAGCTTAGTCTATAAATGCTCCCATATTCCTGGCATTCATAGTGTTTGACACCAGCATGGATTCTATTATAATGAAGAAGGCCTGAGCTGCAATTGAAGGTCTTTCAACATTCTTTCCAGTGATAGGGTGTCCTACCAGTATGAACTTGCTACTGTGCATGAAGGCTGAACTAAATCTGAACATTTTGCCACCTTACTTAAGTCATAGAGTTTCTTAACAGTAGGATTCTCTGATAGACAGCTAGCTTAGGATTACTGAAGGCCTTTCCACATTCCTTATATCTTAAGACTTGTTATTAATATTAAATTCAGAATGTCAAACTAAGTTTTCTATTTTTCTTAGCTGTTATGATTCTTCGACAGTGTGAATTCCTTGATAGACTTTAAGGTTTCTACCACATGTACTTTCCACACTTTACATTCATAAGGATTCTTGCCAGTATGAATTCTAAACTGTCCAAGAAATTGGTAATGAGAGTGAAAAGATTCCTCATTCCTCATACTGAAAGGGCTTCTCGTCACTATGGATTATATGACGAATTCGAAGGACCGTTCCATGAACAATGTGCTTTTCACAGTCCTTACACAGAAAGGATCTCTCACCAGAATGAATTTTGTGGTGCTGCTTAAGCAGTGAATAAAAGTTTTGCCACACTCATTAATTACATGATTTCATACCAGCATGAATGACCCTATGCTGAATGAGGTCGGACTCGAGCTTGAAGGACTTCCCACATACTTTGCATTTAAAGGGTTGTGGGAAAACTCTGCTAACTAAGGTTGAAGCCCACCATGACTGGATAGCCTCTGGGCTTGGCATACTTTGAGACTCCTTTTCTTAGTAGGGTTTCTCCTCTGACTTTTGGGGAATTCTACACCTCCATGCACACCTCTATCTGAGAAATGTCAGGTAGCCTCAATTAGATTACAGGATCAATTTCTTTTCTCCTGATAAAACCTGTTCAACTAAAATCTGAGATTCCTGAAAAGCTTCCCAGGCTAATGAGGCATTTCAGGTACCCTAAGTCCTCAGCCAACAACCTTTGCTCATCCTGGATATCACTACCCTCAGTCCCCCAAAACTGTATAAGCCTGGAATCACCCTAAGTAAAATCGATCTGCTTCCTAACAGTTGGTCCTGGTGTGGTCACTCACCATGTGTACTTTCGACTCCCTGGTTCCCATTGCCTTCATGGACTGTTTTGGCCTACGACGGGCAGAGGGAGACCCATGAGGGTCTTTTAACTGTAGCAACAAATCTATGGTTATTAAGCAGGCTGGAAAGATGAAAGGCTTTGCCATGTTCTTTATATTCAAAAGATCTCTCTTCATTGTGAGATTTCTGATGACAAATAGGAAGCATATTAAGTCTAAAGAAATTCACACATTCTTTATACTCGAAGGGTTTCTTTCCAGTGTGAATACTCTGATGCTCAGTAAAATTGGACTAATAACACCTGCAATAATATCCCACGTTCCTGCAGTCCTAGGGACTTACATCGGTGTGAGTAAGCCGATGTTCACTGAGCTGGTACTTATGCCTGAAGACTGACCCACAGACCTTACACTTGAAAGGTTTCTCTTCCATGTGAGTTTTCTGGTGCTCAGAAAGGTATACCTGAAACCGAAAAGCCTTCCCACATACACTACATTCAAAGGGTTTCTCACCAGTATGAAAATGCTGGTGCTGTACAAGGTGTGAGCCGGTATGGAATTTCTTGCCACATTCCCTACATTCAAATGACCTCTCGCCAGTGTGAATGGTCTGGTGCTGAAGGAGCTGTGCCAGAAGAATGTAGGCCTTTCCACAGTCCTCACACTGAAAGGGTCTCACGTGAGGATGCGTACGTCGGTGTAAACTGAGCTGGTACCTACTTCTGAAGGCTGACCCACACAGCTTACACTTGAAAGGTTTCTCTTCAATGTGAGTTTTCTGGTGCTCAGAAAGGCATGCCCGAAGCCGAAAAGCCTTCCCACAGACACGACACTCAAAGGGTTTCTCACCTGTATGGACACGCTGGTGCTGAACAAGGTGTGGGCTGGTATAGAATCTCTTGCCACACTCCTTACACTCAAATGGCTTCTCTCCAGTATGAATCCTCTGGTGCCGAGTGAGCTGTGGCAGAACAGTGAAGGCCTTCCCACAGTCCTTGCACTGAAAGGGTTTCTCACCAGAATGAATTTTCTGATGTTGTATGAGGTTTGAACGACGATTAAAGGCTTTCCCACACTCACTACATTCAAATGGTTTCACATCAGCATGGATAAGCCTATGTTGAGCAAGGTGGGAGACACACTTGAAAGATTTCCCACATTCCCTGCATTCAAATGGTTTTGTACTTGTATGGATGGTTTTATGAAGCTTCAGCCGGTCGGGAAAAGGAAAAGCCTTCCCACACTCATTACATTTGAAAGGTTTATCACCACTGTGAAACTTTTGGTGTCTTGTAAGCTGTTGGAGGAGTCTGAAGGCCTTCCCACACTCTGTACATGCAAATGACTTCTCTCCAGTGTGAATCATCTGGTGCCCATTGAGGTGAGCCAGAAAAATGAAGGTCTTCCCACAGTCCTTGCACTGGAAGGGTCTCTCACCAGAATGAATTTTCTGATGTTGCATATAGTATGAGCGACGTTTAAAGGCTTTCCCACACTCATTACATTTGTGTGGCTTCACATCAGCATGAATAATCCTATGAGCAACAAGGTTGGAGACACGGTTGAAGGACTTCCCACACTCCTCACATTCAAATGTTTTTTCACCTGTATGAATGGTTTTACGATTCGTAAGCAGGTCAGGAAGATGAAAAGCCTTTCCAGATTCATTATACTTGAAAGGTCTCTCAGCACTGTGAGACTTCTGATGTCTTGTAAGCTGTTGGGGGAGTCTGAAGGCCTTCCCACACTCCTTACATTCATAGGGCTTCTCTCCAGTATGACTACTCTGATGCTGAGTAAGAGTTGACCTACAACCAAAGTATTTCCCACACTCTTTACATTCATATGCCTTTTCTATGTTGTGACCAAGAGTCTGGCTGGTATAAGCAGGCATTTCTTCCTTGTTAGTAACCTTTTGATCAGCATCTCCTTGACAATCCTGTAGTTCCTTGAATGTGCTACAGTTAGGGCCATTACTAAACCTGGAGCCCTTAAAGTCAAAAGTTTTACTTGATTGCTTTATGCCCTGTTTTGATAAATTTCTATTATAACTATGATTTTCTGGAGACATATTTTCAGCATCATAATCTGCCTCCAAATCTGAAAGAAAAGGAGAAAGCAAGAATACTTTATTTCCCTGTAACACATATACAGACATAAAATATTTTCCTGTAACATAAAATCCATTAAAATAACGGCCAAACTCTGACGTATTTCTCTGAGAAGCTGAGTGGGAACCAGGAGAGCAGCAATGAGCAAGGTTTGTGAGAGACAACACTCTTTACAGGAGAGGAGGCTGGAAACAGAAAGGCATGTCTGCTTAACAAGAGTATAACTAACTGTTGAAATAATCGTATGTGCTTATTTGAATACTATTTGAAATACACACTGTTAGCAATCAGACATGTGCACCAGGCTGCCATCAGAAACCTGGCTGCAGCAGCTTATAGCATCACCCAGAGCCATCTGGTACTCAGGGTGTGCCAGGTACAGTACATAAAGGGCACAACCAGCTCAGTCTCTCTCTCTCTCTCTCTCTCTGTCTCTCTCTCTCGGTAAAAACATGGATAATATCTTCCAGTCCCAAGCAAATGGACCTATGAAGCAAGCTGGTGTAGCCTTTTTAATATGTGACAAAACAGACTTCAAGTCAAAACTAACAGGAAGAGATAGGGAAGGACATTATATGTTCATCAAAGGTCAAATCTACCAACATCCAGGCATCACACATAGGACACCCAATCTAGTAAAGTAAGAATACATTACAGCGTAACTCACAACTGCCTCTCGTACACTGACAGTGGGAGACTGCAATACCCCACTGTTAGCAATAAATAGATCATCCAGAAAAAAACAAAACAGAGAAACACTGGAGCTAGCTGACATTATAAACCAAATCGACCTAACAGATATTTATAGAACATTTCAGCCAAACAAAAAAACCCTCTACCATCTCCTCTGCACTTTATCAAACTTTCTCCCAATGGACCATATGCATGTACACCATCAAGTCTCAAGAGATATCAGAGAATCCAAGCGAACCCTTGAATGCTATCTAACCACCACAGATTAAAGGTGGATATCAACCTCCACTGTCCGGCCTATGATGTTCCCTGCCTTTTCAAGGATGTCTGCTGCCCAGGAACATCCAGCCTAGACCTCTCCCTGCCAATTGGATGCATGTCGGATCCACCTGGGGCATAGACACCAGATGTTAGCAGCTGGCTGTTCTCTGACATCCACTGTCAGGTTCATGGCTCTGCCTGCCTCCCCAAGGAGTCCTGCTGGCATCAGGAACACCCAGCTAACACCAGGGGACCACCAGACGGCTAAAGGACAGCGTAAGAACACAACCAACAAGAGCAAGGGCGATAAGGCACAACCAGAGCCTAGCAACACTACAGCAAGCCCCGGTTATCCTAACACAGCCAAAGCACAAGGGGACGACCTTAAATCCAATGCTATAAAGATGGCGGAGGCCTGTAAAGAGGAAATGAATAAATCTCTTTAAGAAATAGCAGAATACAACCAAACAGGTGAAGGAACTGAATAAAATAGCTCAAGACCTGAAAATGGAAATAGAAGCAATAAAGAAAAAACAAAACTGAGAGAATCCGGGACAGGGAAATCCAAAAAGCATGATTTAGCTCTAATCTTAAATTGATCCAGAATTTTGAATGATACAAAAATAAGGCTATATCCTGTTACAGTGGTACAGAATTTTGTATATTAATACAGATTTAAGGTTTTCATTGGTATAAATCTTTGTATATTTGTCATGGTTACGGTTTCTATTGCTGTGAACGGACACCATGACCAAGGCAACTCTTATAAGGACATTTAATTGGGGCTGGCTTACAGGTTCAGAGGTTCGGTCCATTATCATCAAGGCAGGAGCATGGCAGCATCCAGGCAGGCATGGTGCAGGAGGAGCCCAGAGTTCTATATTTTGTTCCAAAGGCAAACAGGAGAAGACTAAGAGGGCTAGGCTGAGGGTCTTAAAGTCCATGTGAACAATGTCACACTTCCTCCAACAAGGCCACACATTCTCCAGCAAGGCACACCTCCTAACAGTGCCACTCCCTGGGCCAAGCATATTTAAACCATCACAATATTGATCCAAAATTTAAGACTAATTTTGTTACAGCATAATATATGTATGTTTCAACTCTAACATAGGCATTGTGCCTTTGCAACTCATTTGAAATTACAAGGTTTATAATTTTATAATTTTTTTTTTCGAGACAGGGTTTCTCTGTGTAGCCCTGGCTGTCCTGGAACTCACTCTGTAGACCAGGCTGGCCTCGAACTCAGAAATCTACCTGCCTCTGCCTCCCAAGTGCTGCGATTAAAGGCGAGCGCCACCACCGCCCGGCTAATTTTATAATGCTATGATGGCAATACAAGTTATGTTGGGAGCCGACTCTTAGCTGAAAGTGGCTATCATCTTTACAGCCATCTTGAGCCGTATACCCTGAC